AGGAAATCATTTCCAAGGTGGATCTCAGTAGGGACGGGGTTCTTGCTGCCTCTTCTGCCCGGAAGCTCGACAAGGCTGGTTACTCTTTGCAGGAGTCGGTGCCGGATCGAGTGGGCGTGGCAGCTCCTCTTCTTGATGTCCCTACCGCGCTGAAGGATGTTCTCGGGGAATCTCCCGTTTCTTCCTTGGTCATGTTCCAGCGCGGCAGTCCACGGGTGGATCAGAGATCACCTTGAGGGTATGGACGTGGACCTCGTCGAGATAGCGGTGTCGGAGCACTCGCTTACGCAGGTTAGCAGAGCAGGAGGCTTGCGCAGTCCCCCTGCCGCGGTTCAAGGAACCAGCTCCTACGGGGTCCGTTGGGACTTCTCTTCTGAGAAGGACCGGCAGGCCCTTAGTCTCTTGGTCGAGAGCCTCGACCCCAAGTGCCTCGTGGTGGGCCTATCTGGTAAGGGTATCCCAAAGGAGTTCCTCTCCTTGGTCAGTAGGTGGGGTGCTCTGGTGGCCGAGAAGAGGCGCCAGATGCTTGTCACCATCTCGGATCAGGAGGGACTTTGGGAGCCTTGGGAGGCTCAGGGCTGGGCTCCCGTGTTTGGAACGCTTCTGGAACCGAAGTTCCCTTGGGCTTTTGGGCGAGCTGATCGTTGTCAGCTCTTGGGATCAGTTCCTAAGGGCTCCAAGCATTCAGAAGGAGCTCTTATCTGTTTGTCCAACTTCAAGATGGATTCGGTTTGCGTTCGCTGTGCAAAGCCCGACGCTTTGGGCAGAGTAGCTCATCAGCACGCTAAGGTCCGGTCCTCTTCGAAGGTGCTCGCATCGGCTTTGTGCCGGTGTTTGGCGGATGCTGGTCTGAGGGGCGACCAGCCCCCCTGTATCTGCTCTGCGAGCGCCCAGCCGCCGGCTGAGCCAGCGAAGCCTTCTGCTCCTGAGGTTCCTTTGCCGGACGTTAAGTCTGGTGAGGACCTCTCGCCACAAGAGAGGGCGAAGATGGAGTCTGAAGTACAAGAGTTTTCCAATATTTACGCTCACTGGCGGTCGAAGGCAGACGCCAAGGATTGGGATGGAGTTTTCGCGGACCTGGAGGTCTACGCGTTGGCAGGCCAGGCCGTGGCTGCTGATCCTCGCCGTACTCCAGAGTACAAGGCGCAGGTCATTGAAGGGCTTAGGTTAGGGCCTACGGAGAACCGTCCGGGGCTCACCGAAGCTGACCTTGCTGCCACCAAGGAGACGGTGGGCCGGAAGGCCGCTGCATTTTGGGTCGAAGGTACTGCGCGTACCACGGTCCGGAAGTTTGCGCACGACTGCGTCCGTACGGGCCCTCCAGTCAGCTCTCAGCCTCACGCGCTCCGCGGAGAAGTGGCGCAATGGGTTGACGACCGGCTTGAAGAGGAGGTCCAAAGAGGGCAGCTCGTGCGAGGGCCTTCGGCATGGGCGCCGCCCCCAAGCCTCCGCCCAAAAGGCCGACCGTCCCGGAGGGCATGGTGACGGTCAAGTCTGGCCCTACGCCAAAAGGGGCCAGGCCGCCACCGGATGGAGCCGGATGAGGCCGCAGAGTTCGTGCGAACGCGTCCGATCTCCGCCTCCACCGCCTGCTGCTAGGAACCGGTCGGAGAGGCCCTTGCCTCATGGAGGACTACACCCGGACCTTACCAAGGCCCCGTCCGGCCTAAGCTCGTCGGGCCCCCTCTTAAGGGAAGGGCGCCATTCCTAGCTCGGAAGTCGGCCTCTAGAGGAGGCCCGGAGGGCTCCCAAGGAGGAGACGCAAGTGGAATGGAGGAAACCGAGGAAGAAAGGGCCAAGACGGAGGCCATTCTTCGTGGGATAGATGACTTTATGGAGTCGGTCGAGCGCCGCTCCGCGAGCCTGGAGCGCTCGGCCACAAAGTCACCTGCACGCCACGTGTTCGTCCCCCCGGCTTTCGACCCGATTCCCGAGGAGGATGCTCCTGCAGGGGAATTCGTCGATCTTGGAGACACTCCAGACGCGGGTCCCATCCATGGGGTGGGTGTTGCAGGCTGTCCCACAGCCGAGGAGCCGAACTTCGGCGACGAGTCCTTCCCAAGCGGGAAGGCAGAATTCGCCGCAACGACCGTGCCAGCGCTCCCAATCTGGATGGAGAGCGTCGCAAAGGGATTCACCATACCGGCGCCACTCGGGACCTCGTCTTCGGCGAAAGCCGAGAGGAGAAGGAGATGAGGGTGGACGCGGAGCACGTCGCCCTCACGAAAGGTAGGCTTACAGGGCACCAGTTCGAACCCCTGTTCGAAGCCTCCATAGCGGAGTTGGAGAGTGTGGAGCTTGGCAAGACAGCGAGAGAGCTCTTTTTGAGCTACTTGCGAAAGATGCCACCACACCTCCAAAAGGAGATCCGCGGTGACAAGCGGTTGTGGCCCAGCGACGGCGCATCCGCAGGGCTACGAGGCCCTTCGACCTGGGAAGAAGCGCATAAAGTCGTCCTGGAATATGAACAGCGTGAGGCTGCGCACCGGGTGACGGCTAATAGCGTTTATGCAGGTTCGACGGAAGACCCTGCCCTGTCCGCAGCGCGGAAGGAGGTCGAGAAGCTGAGGACTGAGCTCAAGGCTTCTAAGGCCGCGGCTAAGGCGGCCGCCTCTTCCACGCTTGCCGCGGGACCGAAGGGAGGAGGAAAGGGGAAGCCCATCTGTTTCCACTTCCGGGACCACGGCAACTGCCCGAAGGGAGATGCGTGCCCTTATTCGCACGATAAGGAGCTCCGGAAGAAGGCCCTCGCGGCCAAGAAGGAGCGGGACGCGTCTACCCTGGCGACGACGCCGGGGAAGGGCAAGGGCAAGGGCAAGGGTGGAGCCGGAGGGCAGCCCAAAAGCAAAGCCAAGGCCAATCCCAAGGCGAAGTCCAAGGCGAGCGCAAAGCCGCCAGGGACTATCTGCCCTTTCTTCAAGAAGAACGGCTCGTGCCGCAAGGGCGCGGACTGCGACATGGTCCACTCGCTTCCCGCCGCCAGCGGAGCCGCGTTGCCGTCGAACTGGGCGGCGCCGCTGCCTGATTCTTTCGTAAACGGCTTGGGGATTGTCAGTAACTTCTCCCGTCTTCGAGGCCGCCTTATACACATTCCAAAAGGTCTTAAGCCTCGAGCCCCCCTTGCAGTTGTTGGCAAGGCCACAGACGTCCTCGAACTCTTCGTAAAACTGGACGACATCCCGCACATCAGACCTGTCGTCTGTGAGCGGGGGCCATTGGAGGTCAGTCTTCACCGTAGTGATAGACGTCTGACCCCCACGGGACGCCAAGGCCTCCTTGAGCGCCTCCGTCTGGGCTGCCAACGCAGCGGCGAGCTCTCCGGCTCCACCGCTGGCGGAGGGAGGCTCACCGGGCTTGTCCTTCTTAAGCCCCTCGAGCTCTATCTCCAGAGCCGCAAGGCGGGACTTAAGGGGTGATTCCCCCGGACCAGATTGCGGCTCTTCGGGGATGGCAAGCTGAAGGTCCACAGGGAGAGGCATAGCAGCCTGGGCCTTAGCGGCCGGCTCAACAACGGCGCCCGTCCGGGCCGCCAAGGCCGGAACGGAAGAAGGCGTACTCCAAACCTTCTCTGGGTCGCCGCTGCTCTTGCCTCCAGGGCCAAGATCAGCTCCCCGAGGCACGAGATCTCCTTCTCGACCTCCTCTCGGTCTTCCGACCCAAGAGAAACCGCAGCAACGGTAAACCTGGTGCGCAGAGCCCGCACCATCCTAGCAGGGTGCCAGTCGCCTCCCATCTTGCCGTACTCTTCGGCAAGGATGGTGGCCTTAGTGGTGATCTTCTCAAGATCCTCCACCGTCACCTCTGCCTGGTGCGCCTTCAAGGCCACAACGAGCCTCGAAACCCGCGTCAGGTAGTCCGCGACCGGTTCCTGGTCGGGACGGTAAAGTTCTCGCAGATCCGACTGCAAGGACTCTGCCGTGACGGGACCACCCGTTCCGGCAGATGAGGGAGGCCCGGAACGGGCCGGGACGCCGGTCACCGGCGAAAGAGCAAGCGCCTCAACACGACGCGCTGTCTCAGCCACGCCTGCCAGAACAGCGGCAGGACGCGGAGCCGGGACACCGGCCTCCGGCAGAAGCTCTTCGGAGCTGGGGCCTGGATCTCCTTCCAGAGCACCCACGCCCGCTTCAGGGGCCGGAGCTTCCTCACCTTCCTCTTCATCTTCTTCCTCTTCCTCCTCGGCATCGAAATTGTCGTGGAGGAATTCCATCGTCTCCTTCCACAACCGCTGCTCTTCAGCGAGAGTCGTGGAACGACCGTCCTTCTTCTTAGTAGGACGGGACCCCGTCTCCTTACGGCAACGGAGCCAGTACATAAAGGTCATCTTCTCCGGGTACTCCACCGACCCGTCCTCGATGCACCTCAGCAACGTGGCCCCTTCCGGCTGACCAGCGACCTCAGCGCTCATGGTCGCCTAGCGAAAGGAGAAAGCCCCGTGCCCACAGGGCCACGGCCTCAAGGCGCACGGCAAGCGCGCCTTCCAGGCCACGGTAAAAGGTTGCGGCGCAGCAGCCGCCCAGGGTAGCCGTTTCCCAGAACAGCCCCCAATTGTAAAAGACAGTAACACGGGCAGGCACAGCGCCCTTGTTTTAACTGCCTTAAGCAAGTCCAGCGGGCGTGACAGCCCGAACGTCTGCCCTAAGGCGTGCTGCGCACAACTAGTGCCGCAGGCTACGCGAAGCAACCTACGACTAACTGCCGTGCTCACTTGAGCCAAAAATGTTATGAACACGAATTATCAAAGCATGCATAAAAGCACACAGCTTCACAGCCAGCCCGCAGACTATGTACAGTTACAAGTAGCAGTAGTAGTAGTAGTAGTAGTACTACTACTACTACTACTGCTACTACTACTACTCCTACTACTCCTACTACTCCTACTACTCCTACTACTCCTACTACTACTACTACTACTGCTGCTTCTTCATTCTACTTCTAGTTCTACTTCTTCTACTACTACTGCTACTACTAGGTGATGAGGTTCTGTTGGTGCTACCAAGGTGACCATCCTCTGCAATGGCTCCGAGAGTTCGCCCATCACAGAATTTGTGTTTTCCTGGCAGAACCTTGGATTTCCATTTAGTTGCTTCACGTCGAGACGGACAAGCAGCACTGAAGCACTCGGAGTCATTCGCAACTCTCCAAGACACCCGCGATTGCTTCACCCGCAAGAACGTCAGAACTTAGCCCCATGTACAGACCCAGGAAGAATGGTGCCACGGAGCGCCAGGTTGTGCCCACAGCGCCATGGATGCCGCTTTTCATAGTTGGACACCATGTTAGTTGCATTGATATCACCAAACATTTACAGCTGTCGGGTCGTATGTATTCGTCTTCACCTATGTGCCAACACCGTGAGATGACAATTGATTTGTTCCCAAGCGATGCTTACGTGTTTATGTTTGTGTATATGTATAACACTATATATACATACATATATATATATATATGCGATACGTAGCTGGCTGGCTGGCTAGGTACGTAGATTGGTGGGTAGGTACTACTGCAACTGCTGCTGACACTGCTAATATTGCTGCTACTGACTTGGGTACCTCAGTTCAATGTCAACGCAATCGCAGACTTCAGAGTCCAGACCCCGAAGAGCCCTGATACCTGAGAGTACAGGTTAGTCAACCTGGACAAGTTGCCAGCAGAGTCATCATGAAAAGTCAAGCTGCAGACGCCTCGCCCCTTGCCTGAGGCTGAATCACGTCTTCCTCGCTATCCAGTTCCACACGCCGGACAGCGTCAGTGCGATAACGCGCTCGAACTCGTTTTTCTCGACGGGAAGCAAGCTCCCCAAGGGAGAGGCGCCTCCAGGTGGGAGCTTAAGCTTCACGCTCGTGAGTAAAAACTTGAGAGAAAAAGACAATTGGACATGTGTTTTTTCAAGTGTTTTGAATAAAGCCGTTGATGGACGTATGCTTTATTCGCATTGTAGCCCAGGTCTGATGTTGCTATTCGAGCCGCGCCCGCATGCGGATAGCCAAAGTATCAACAGCTTCTTCCGGGTGCTTCTTAATGCTGCTCAGTTCGCAATTGGGCTGTTCTCTGCACCAGCTTTAGATCATTCGGGTTCAGGGGCTGGTCGAAACAAAGACGCCTGAGAGGGACAGCAGAAGGGTGCGAAACGAATTGTATTTCCTTGCTTGGCAATCTGTCAGACTTGCAACTCTAGGTCGGATGATACTTCGTCTTGATGTCATGGATCTAGGGTGGATGTGGGCGGGGGGGCAGGGGGCGCAGCCTCAGGATGTTGAAGTTTGGGATACGGCTCAGTTATGCGAGGTTGGAAAGTCGCATGGAGCAAGCGGGTTGTCTAGCATTTCTTGGTCCGGAAACTACGCAGAGAACCCTCCACCCTTCAGCTATAAGCCGGGCTACCTCAGCTTCTCGGTTTCTGTCGCCATGAGGTCAGAACTGCACATGTGAGACTGTTTGTTGGATGCTTTGGGGGGTTGCTGGCCGGTTTCAAGCCTAGCCTTTGAGGTTGAACGTTAAGTATCAAGGAATGAGCAAAAATCTAAGACTCAGCGGAAGCTGGAAATATTCGAGGCCATTCGCAAGAGCTTCCAGGATAAGTTTGACCACGGCCTCGTCGGGGGCCAGGCTGGAGTACCCTTTTTTGTTGGGTTGTTTTCCTGCTTCTGACACCATGATGATTGTTACACCTGCGAGCACGATAGCTATGAAAATAGCAAAGCAAGAGTTTCAACAGAAATCACATCCATCACCGCCGCCCTCGCCATCAGGGCTATACAGTCATCATCTCCTGGTTTGGCTGCAGGCCTACAGCTGGCTGATGTCCGCCGTGGATGAGGCCATGGACTGCGCTACACAGGAGCTCAACTCTCGGCAGGCACAGACCGATCTTGAAGAGTGGGGTCCTGTTTGAATATTCTATAGCTACTAGAAAGTAATTTCCTGATGCTTTGTTGGTCGAAAGGTCCATTAACTCATGCTACTGGTTGTTGCTGCTCGTATGTTGAATCTTGCGATGATTGTTAGTAGTATCGTAGTAGTCCATGTGGTGCTCCTCGTGGCGATATACTTAGTTTGGTTGTTGATATTGGAATCACGCATATTCTGCTACATCTTATTGTGGTAGTCAGGGATACTCAGAACGACGGGCATCGTTGCTAAAGCTGCAAATGCATCCTAGACCCTGACCCTCAAGGCCTGAGACCTCAATCCCCAAACTCTCCAGGCCCCAAGCAGCAAGACCGTAAGCAAAAGAAGGCCCGGTTCTGCCTCGGCCTTTTTGCCAGGTGGAGGATTTCATGGACGAGGAGATGAAGGCCGTGCACTCCAAGGCTGGTCGAGGCCTGCCACGCAGCTGCAATAAAAGCACTGCTTCGGCTTCCTCCTAAAAAACTGTAGACTGTGACCTTCGATGCAGTAAACCTCGTCTCAAAAGGTACTTCCAAACATTCTTCTGTAACTGGCTCGAGGTCAGCTCAAACGGCTTTCGTGTGTGGCGGTGTGTGTGGCACAGTTTCAACACGGCGAACCGTTGCCAGTCAATCCCCCATTGGGTGGCATCTCACGGTTCGTCCAGACTGTGGCCACCCAGCTCGTAAAGGCCAACGCACAGCAGTGCCTTGAAACCCCGCACCACCCCCGGTACCCCCCCCCCAAAAAAAAACACATAAAAAGGCTGTGGCGACCAGTGAGTTTTTTGCTGTGGCAGTGATGCAGGCAGAGTGCACACTCCGCAAATGCCCGAAAGCAAAGGCTAATGGACATCCTGCAGCCGGTCCTGATCGAGTACCTGTGCCTTCAGAGGCTTTGCTCTCTTGGCAGCTTGTGAGCTTTTATGGCATACATGACTACACAATATCCTCCGCAAATTCAGCCCGAGCCCCATACGCAGCCTAAACTATTCGAGATTCACGCCCCATTGAAAACCCAGGAGGCTCACTCATTCCTCAACCCCAAGGAGGCTAAACACGCAAAGCCCGTAGGCCTCAAACCTCAGCCTTTGGATACCTTGCACGCCTGAACCAATTCACGTCTAAAGCACCTTTCTAGACTCTGAAAACCAAAGCTAGAACCGCCCGCACATGCCCTGGACCCCATTCACGCGTAAAGCTCTGACACCCATGAAACGCCAAAGCCCTTGAACCTCACGAACCTGCTGAATCGGCCAAGGAAACACGTTGGTCACAGCAACTTGCCTCTGTTGAAAAACTTTTCACTGCAAGATTTGTTCCATTCTTAAAGTCGATAATCGCAAAGAAAGACGTATTACGGATTCTGGATGGGTTGAGGGTTCAGGGTGCTACTGATCCTAGGACTCAGCGTAGAGTGCAGCCATTCCAGGCTCCGTGCTGGACCGCGTTGCCGAGAGGGTGTCGGCTGCTAAAGCGTTCGCCTACCACACAGCGAAGGCCATGAGCACTTAAGGTAGGACGTAACTCCTGCAGCCAGCGGCAGAAGGGTTTGGACTTAAATCCTTCAGCGGAAAATCCGATGCCCTCGAGCCAAAAGCTAGAAATAAAGAGCCGGAAGCGCCCTCACAGTTGAAACCAGAAACCTAAATCCGGAAGCGGAAACGCCGAACACTTAAATCAATTCCTTGGCCAGTCTCAGCTGGGGGTTATCCGCGATAGGACTTTCTGCACGATGTCCAACTCAGCATTTTGAGAATAAGACCATGGTAAGAGCGTCTGATGTACAACAAAAACTTCAAGTTCTCGCAGACGCAAAGGCAAAAGTCGAGACACTCTGGGCGTTCATCGAGACGCATGAGGAACTGTTGGGCACTTCGATGTCCATCGAACCTCGGGCTTCTGCTGTTTGTGCGCAAGTCCTCTCGCTTGGATGCGCAAATAGTTGTTAACTACTGCCAGGTCTCCGTAGGGCCTATGGATTTGTCGCGTTCACCTGACATCTCGCGCCTTCAGACTTCAAACCCCTCAGCCCCAAGGAACGATACCCTGCCCTGGTGGAGTGCATCAACCGCGTGATTGAGACTGCCCGTGCCGATCTGGCCATTCTGGCAGAAACGATGCCACTCCGCTACTTCTTCAGCGACTGGGCTGTAGTAAAGGCAGGAGTGCGCCAAGTTGCTGCTTACATACAGAAGGCACGCGTTGTTTGAAGCGCCACCGCTACAGTCAAGGCAAGCACGGGATGGCGCTGCGCATCATCTTGCCCCTTTCTTGCAATGCTCAAGCCTTCGGGGCAAGAGGGCAAGCTTTGGATCTGGCTCTCTGGATGTCTTTCGGAGGGAGAAACGGAGAGATGAGCCGAGGCACAACCGCGTCACTCAACTGGCCCGTGCCGCCAGCAAAGGCTGGATTACAGACCCAGAGGCCGAGGTGCTCATCGGCGAGCTTCAAGCACGGATACGAGAGGCCAACAACTTCTACCCGCGAAGCACCTACATCCGGCCTCTTGCCTCCGAACTGACAGGGTGGGCATGTACATACCTTCCGTAGCTTTTTCCCGTTCTCTGAGCCATGCCCACACAAACATAGTCATTCCATCGACTGGTGAGACGAGGCTCGCCTGCTCACGCAGCTGTGGGCCCAAGTTTGGTGCTCAGCCGCCGCTTAGCTCTCCTTCGTCAAGCTTTCAAGTTCCTGTTACGCGCAATACCGTACTAACAAAAGCACCGCGACAACCCACCCGCTCACCACCGTAGAAGAGGCAGAAGAACGCCTGGGACGACTTCGATCTCGCCCTGCAGCCCTCCTTCGGTCAGGGAGTTTACATCCCCGAGGCCGCCTGACGCAAAAAGCTTCGTGTGATCAAAGGCTTCAATGGGAAGGACGTATGTCACGCAATCGGGAAGCAGGAGCTGCCCGAACCACCAGGACTCATGTCAACGTCAGGGCGTCTCAGCTTCCTCCTGATTGGTATCTCGTTGCTGCTACCACACCAATGTCCCTGTGTTTGTAACGCCAAGTATCACTTGGAGAACAGATGCAGACGCTGCAATAGGACATTGCTAGTGGTAGTGGTGGTTGTGGTACCAGTAGTGGTAGTTGTAGCAGTGGTGGTAGTAGTACTTGTACTTCTACTACTAGGAGTAGGAGTAGGAGTAGCACTACTAGTACTAGTACTAGTACTAGTACTAGTACTAGTACTAGTACTAGTACTAGTACTAGTACTAGTAGTGGGCGTAGTAGCAGAAAAAATCCTCCCCAGTCTCCATTATTGCCGTTGGCAAGTCTTCCAATTTGTTGGCCATCAAACGACCGTCTTGGGCCTTCTCCACAAGTTAGTTGCTATCGAAGGTGCCATTTTCGAACATTTCCTGGGTCCCAAAAGTGGGTACTCACCAGAACAGCAAAACAAAAAGAACAAAAGCATCCCGAATTGGACCTCCAAGTCAAGTCCCGAAGCGACTGCCCAGGCAGAGGCAACACCGGTTTTTACGTCGGAAGGTGTGAAGTTTCCACTGTGAGCCCTCTTTTGGCAATTTCAGTCAAGAGAGTGGGTTTAGGTGTGGGGAGCAGAGGTTTCTAGTTGCCTGGATAGTAAACGAGCAAACTGTGGGAAGCAGCCATAGTCTAGCAGTGATGATAGTTTTTCCAAGCACGCTACAGTTTTAGCTCTCCGCACCCGCAAGGACTTTGATCAAGGTGCCCAGTTTGGATCCCGCCGTGACTCTCTTTAAAGCCACGTCAAAATCTGTAGTGCAATATTTGCATACACTCCATTGTTCTTCATATCCAGTAGTGACATGAGTGCTTCCCGGCAGCGTTTCTTCGAGTTTCCAGTGGTTTGAAGGGGTTCCCAAGATTGAAACTGTGTACTGCACCGCAAGGTTGAGAAGGGGTTCGAACTGAGGTCTCTCATCGAAATCCCTGCATCACTTCAAGTAAGATTTAGGGCTACCGTGATTTTGACACGTCTCCCCGGTGCGAGGGCCTTCTGCGCTCGCGCAGACAGGTGCTGCGGGGGACGTTTTGTCTCCATGTTTGCAATCTCTTTGCGACGTGGGCCTCTGATACAATGATCACCGAGCCATGCAGCTGAAGCTAAAAACACTAAAGGTAGAAACTGTAGCATGCCCTGAGCCCTGCTCTTTTCTAGAGATCGCCGTGGAGTGGAGAGAAAGCCGACTGTAAGCTCGCTGCTCGTGGTGGAGCCAATCGCAGCCTCTCTTCGGGCAGAATGCTCGAACTGGGAGTTTCTGTGCTTTGCCCGGGTTTTGAAGTATCCTGAGTAGCGTTCCGGTGAAAACCCTGTCGAAGCATAGCCAAGTTTACACCCCCGGACTCGGTTCTAATCATACTTGTAGCTCCATACTTATGACCTTCATGGTATTCGGCTTGAGAGGGTTTTGGGGGTCCTTGCAGCGGTAAGCTCTTCTTTATGCAGTCTTTCTTCAAGGGAAGTTGAAAGGCGAAGGGCACGAGTAAGCCACATATAGCTTCACAAGACGTCACACCCTACAAGCTTGGGTTTCTCCCTGTCATGCTGCGGCAACCATACCTGATAAAATTTCAGCAGATTGGTAGTTGGCAGCCGGGTTCTCTTGGCAATGCTTCTTTTCCAGGTTTGCAAAGTCACGTTCACAAACACGCACTCGCGAGCTTCGGCTTCCATGAAGATTTGAATTTGGATTAGGACCTCGGGCAAGACGGGAGTGCTGTCGAGTTCAGAGCGAGATGCAGTTGGCTCGAGCGACTCTTAACGCCAGCTGCAGAAAGATGTGCGGGCTTTGCATCATGCTGAGGTTCCTGCGTTTCCAAGCACTAAGCCCGAGGCCTGAGTCCTGCAAACTCCACGTAGCAAGGCATAGCGCTGGGATCAGGGGAAGTCAGGTGGGAGTCAGCCTGAGGAATTGCCCTGCACGGGTGGTCTCCTGATACTCAGCCCCAGAACCGTCGGCTCTGAACCCCTGAAAAACGCCGAAAACTCTTCCGGGCAATGCCTTTCAATTTGTTGGTTCCCACCAGAACCCCAATGAAACTGTCCAGCTAAACGAAGGAACCTCCCACACACGCGCAACTACTCTCAGACGGGATTTCTAGATCTTGATGAAAACCTCAATCGAAGTCTTAGCCACTTACCACAGTACTTCTCAATGGGGGGACCCGGGAAGTTTTGGCATCCATTAAAGACAACACGGTCAATGTGGAGAAAGCTCGCAATAATTATGTTGATACAGTAGACTTGTTCGAAGGCTCGAAAGCCTACCCGAAACCTTTAAGCAGATGTTCCGAACAACTGGCTGTGTAGAGAACGGTGAATCCGTCTACCAAAGCCCGAAGACTATCCATGAGTTGCTCGTGAAGCTTCGACTACACCTTGGTCTGTGTTTCCTTGTCAGTTTTGTTCATGAAGGTCTATTGTCCCATTCTCTTCTGCCGTTTTGCGGTGTGCACAGTACAAATGACAAAGATCTTGAAGCACGTGTTCTGGAGGCTGTAAGGCCGCAAGTCCTGACCTCTTGGAGCGCTGCGCGTTTCCCTTGTGCCAGCGCCTTTTCCCATGGTATCAAGGCCCAGTCCCAGAATCTCAACCCAAGACCCGGACAAGGAGAACGCGGCCTTCGGCTTAGTGCATTTGCCACGACTGTACTTCGCACGGTTTGGCCAGGTGGAGCTTCTGGACGGCTCGGAGCGCCTTTCGCACCATCTCATGAGCAAAGCACTCCAGGACACCCGAGATGTGATGCTTGCTGCGGCTATAGAATACGAAAGCAATCAAGAATGCCACCTCCAGTTCGACTACTCTTACTCGTACTGCTGGTTCTAGGAATGGTGACATACCAAAACAAACACAATTCTTATCTCACTCGCAACTGTTGTCGAGCATAGTATAATAAGTGGGACTAGCAATTCCGCCGGATGGTGGCAGAACTAGCCAAACTGAGGTTCTGTTGATTGTGATTGTGGCCACTGTTATACTGAATGGCTGACAAAAACGTGGAGCTGAAGCATTGCAGCTTTGCTTCCATTGAACAGCATGCCAAGTACATGCAGTCATACATGTACACACACCAGCAAGCAAATATGCATGAGTTTATCCATGCACGCCCATTGTCTATGTAGACATGACACCTATGAGTGTTTCGCTTTTGATGTGTTTGCTTGCAAAACTACCGCCGGGCTGTCCGGCTGTTAGATTATCCGACCCTGTTTGCCCGCTCGCCAAACAAAGGAGTGTCCCATACCCAAAGGATTACACGCAAGATAACTTTGGTCATCTTAACGCGCCTCTGTCTCTGCCCTACTTTCCCCAACCTTCAAGACACATCAAGATCTGCACCCCTGAAAATCCAGCGCTCTGTCACATCCCCAGACTTCTTCAGGAGTGCCCTACCAGCGGCTTGCTTTGGGCGAAGGTCGCAGCTCCGAATGCAGAGTTGGTGCATGGCCAGAGCCTTCCTAGACCCGACGTCTTGAAAATCCGAACCAGACCTAATGCCTGTGCTCAGGAGCAGTTTAGGGCTTACCAGGTGCTGGGTTTACAGTGAACTCCAAACCCGAGCTCGTCCCAGCGAATCTTCTTGCAGGCCATCGAACTGGAGCCAAAGCAGGGCCAGAACGCAAAGAGCAGGGGGCCCTGAACGACATGCGGGTTCTTTGGGAGCTGTGTCAGGAGCGCTTCTTCCAGCAACTTCATATCAGTAAGACAATCTGAAACGTGCTCGCTCTCGGAAATCCGGTTGTGTCCATGTAGGCAAGCTCAGAGTTCTTACAGTTGTTGCGGTTGCTCAGTTTTGGGATGTATAGGAATCTTGCTTGATGTAGGACGCTGCAGGGTTTGCGGTCCGCACATGCTGACAGATTCCGTTACCAAGCCAGCTTGCGTTGACGCCTCCTCCACTTCTCTCGGCGGCCCCTGTACCTGGTCGCCTGTCACTAAATCCAAGACCCCAGCTGGAAGCAGCCAGAGAGCCGAAGACCACTAAACAGTTCTGCAAGGCCATCGGAGACTTTTGGTTTGCACCTAGATCAGACAAGGGGATGTCAAGGCTTGATCCTAAACCGAGCCAAGCATAGCTAGGAAAGACATTGTGACCCCATTGTCTCAGCGAAGACCACAGGTAGCTGCTTCATGCCTCTGCACCCGCAGACCAGCCCCGCCTGCGTGCACCGCCCTTCATTCAGATACAACCTTGACAGCTACCTCGAAAGCTACCATGTTACAAGTATTGTGTCCCAAAGTGCGGCTTTGGGCCGAAAACTCCCAGGCGTCGATGCCCTCAAGAAATGCGAGAACGATGCGCACCTCAGCCGCAGATGAACATCCTGACGTTGAGCGCCATGCCACAGCTTACGCTAATAACTGAACGATCCACAGTCTACTCCTTCCTATGCTGAATTGCAGTAGCAGCTCGCTTTTATCGCTGTCCTTGTGCTTAGTATCTAAGGCCGTTGTAGTTACTGCATGGACTCGTACTGCCGCCTAGTCCTCCACGTCCATGTCGTAGATGGGGGACGTTCCGGTTCGAGCCGCGGTCAAGGGTCTGTGTTCGGTTGGTTCCTGTCGCAGAGACCAGACCTCAAGTCTTAGGCAGTAAACTTCTGTGGCCGCAGAAGAAGTCTTTTCTCAATTCTTAATGGTAGAGCGCTGTGAACTTATAGCCCACGAGCGTCCCGAGAGCACCGATATGGACCTTAGAGTTCTGTCATGCAGGCATGTCATCATCGCTGTGGCAAAGCTCTTCTGGCGCGATGGCAAGAATGCCAAAGCTCGAAAATGGCATCGGGCTCAGTCCGACATTCCTGAACGCACTTTTGCAGCTCCAGGTGGTGAAGGCAGACTGTCTACTTGCCCAAGTCCAACAGCCGGGCCAACCCCGAAACCTGAAGGCCATGAGGTTCGATCTAAATTCAGAGCTTCGCAGCTCGCCTTTGCCACGACTTGTACTGTTTGGCTGCTATGCTGGGCACCGCTTCCGCGATCGGAGGTATGCCGCAACAAGGTCAACCTCTCCTATGAACCCCACTGACCTGACAAACGCGCACGGAAAACTGTCAGACATCCTGGAACTAATCCAACACAAACAGCCCAGTTCACCAATCTTCACAGATCCTTGAAGCCCGAGCAACAATTCACGAGTGACTACGCAACAAGTGATACGAATACAACACAAGTACAACACAAGCAAGCAGCAACAGGGCACAAAGACCCAAACCACAAGCCAAAAAAAACATAGTAGTAATCGCATGAAACCGAAGGTTCAACCGAGCGGTGACGCTGAACCCTAGGCTCGGCGATGCCAGGCTCCCAGCTCGCTTCGAGAGGAGCTGCATTTCCTAGAGCTTCAAGCCCTAACATTCCGAGATTACAGAAGGCACCTGTTGTTTCTCGCTTTGAAGACTTCTTTCCTCCAACAGTTTCCCATACTGACGACCCTGAAACTCCCATCTACAGGGCAGGAGTTATTAGGAGGAGCACTGACTTTGAAAGTGGGGTTAGGTTATTGTTTTGATGTACCCCAGGTGTCATTCCTATCAAGGTACGTCCTGCATCACCGGAAATCTGAGGCTTGGGGAGCTTACCTGGCCTTCGAGCTCGAGAACGGCACTTCCCACGAGCAACGAGAGGAGGGGTTTAGGCTGTAGGTTCTGAGTGTCTAGTTTAGAGAGGGCATGTGGAGGGCCAGGTTTGGCAGGCCTTGCCCATCAGACAGCGCAGGGGAAATACAACTTTGTGTTGTGTACATATCAGATGACATTGTGTTTACGGATTGCTTGTTAGAGTGGTACCATGCATATAGCAGCGACCCATCTCCGGCAGCCGCAGTTTCGCACATAGAAGCCGCAATGATGTGGTACTCAAGAGTTTCCCCGGCACAGATGCCACCGCGCTTCTCTAGGAGGGCAACGGGAACCGTGTTTTCCACTGACGCAGGTGATCCGAAAGTGCGTGGATGCGGAGCCCAACCAGGCGCCAGAGACACCGGATGTGCCGCGCTTCGAGTCACCAAGTCTTTGAAAGTGCTTGTAAGTTCGCAGACCAAAACTCTGTGAAGCTGCAAGCACAGCATCAAAAGCTAAGCGATAGTCGAAGTTGGAGCAATCCTCGTCGCCGCGGTGGAAGCAAGTTTACGGCCCCGCAAGTGCAAACGGTCAAAGGGTCAAAGGATTTAGATGTAGGAATAACTCCCTGAGCGGGAAGCACTCAAAATACTCGCATCCTTGATGAATGGCGCCCGAGTCCGACTCCATCTGGAATCTTCAAAAGACATGATTTTTGAGCTTTGTTTGAGATGTGAGAGCTGCCCCAACTTCATGCACAACGAGATATAACCTTTGGAACGGTCGCCGCCCACACGCCCAGAACTGTCAGGTCGTATAGCGCTTCCATAAAAAAAACCCACTTCTTGCCAGCGCATAGCTGGAGATTCTGAGAGCCATGGTGGACCCCACAGACAGATTAAAGGAATCCAGAAGCTTGGCTGAGCGCCTAGGGTTCAGCTGTTTCGGGGTGGCCAATTCATGCAAGCTCGTCGTATCCAATTTGGCATACAGGGATGCGGGCAGAATTTGGTGCTTGAGGAGGTTTTCGCCTGCAGAGGCAGCCCGGTTCCGGATATCACACCCTCGTCTCGACAACCGAGTCTTTGCACAGGGCCTTGAGTGGAACAAGACCGTCAAGAAGGTGGCGAACTGGCGTGCGAAGTGGGCAAGCGGCTTATATCCAGAGGTTCGGCTTAGGACTTCTGCAAGCAGATAAGGCCATCGCAGCATTTCGAGGGTGCCAGGCAGTAGTGGTCACTCTCGCAACTGCGAGTGTGCAGGAACCAGCAGGCGACGCATGCTTCTGGCCTCACAGAATTGCTAGCGTTTTCAAGTTCTAAAGCCTCTGTTCCCCGAGACAGACCTGGATTGTCAGAGACCCAAGGCCGTGAAGCTGAAGCGCTTCGTCGAGGAGGCAGCTGAAAGGGTGGGTTTGCTGTCACCAGCCTTGAGAACCTACCCGCCAATCTGCCGCCACCTTTGGTCGCTACGGCTTTGGCTTTGAAACGCAAAGCTTTACAAAGAAAAGAATACGTATACTCATAGCCAAAACGAGGAGATTGTCGGAACGGCAGCCTTGGCCAACAGAAGGAAGTTACCACAGGAAGCCTGCAAACCAAACCCAGACTAGAGGCCTTCAAAAAGCTCCGCAGGCCCCGAAGCCTCCTCCTGTCGATGTATGAGCAACATCAAGCACAAGAGAGAGAGAGAGAGAGAGTTCCTGCTGATGCGGGGGATGTACCAGCTTGCATGTTTGAAAGGAGAGCACACGACCATCCTGAAACATCATCGTATACTTTATGACAGAAGCCTTCGGATGGACTGTGCTCGTTTCTCACGCCTCTGGACCCGAAAAGACTTCGGGGGGGCATGATGCCCGGAGGCTTTGACAGGCCTCCATGCCCAGGAGAGAGAGACTCAAGGCTGTGCCGACTCCTTCCCATTGCCCGTGAGTACTCTTTCTTTCCTCTCTTTTCTTGCTACAGGGATCGGCAGGCCTCAACCCGGAGGCTTTCCATCCTGCCCGAGCCGTCTCCCAAGCCATCAGCGACCGGGGGGGCTACGGCAAGAGTGCGCTGTTCATCGTCAGCGCTCTGCCGGGGGACATAGGTGCGGACGGTCCTGCAGGGGGTCGGCGGCCTATATCCAGATCTTTCGGGAGCCTGACAACAGCTACCCGACCAATATCGGCGAGCCTACAGGTGCTCACCAGGGGGGCGCCGATTCTGCCCTTTGTCTCCTTCGAACGGGGACTACCTGTACTACCTGATCGTGATATTGGCAAGGCCGATAACCTAGTGATCTTCACCTACACAGGGGGGCAATGACTGACCCCATGGCTACAGTGCCGGCCCAATCGCCGGCACAGAAGAAGCGGGGAGCCCCGGAAGAAGAGAAGCTCAGCCTGGAAGCCATCCGGGAGGTTGTGCGTAGTGAGGTGTCGGGGAGCACCAGCATGCACCCTCCGAGCCGAGATAGGGCAACGCATGGACCGCGTGGAGACGGGGGTGACGGCGCAACTGGAGCGCACCTTGGAGAAGCTGGCTGCCATCACCAACCAGCAGAGTGACCAGCAACGCCTAGTTGAGGCGATCCAGGGGGAACAATACAGTATGAATGCCCGGCTCCAGCAGCTTGAGAATAAGGTGCAGACAATCCAAAGCACAGGGGGCTCGACTACGGCAGACACCGATTTCGGAGGCCGCAAGCCCGCGCTCATTATGGGCGGGTGGGGGGATGACACCCCCGCGGAGGAAACCCTCAAGAACGTGAAACAGATGGTCAAAGATCTCTGTCGGCTGCACTCCGGCGAGTCCGGCAGGCCAACATACAAATGGGGGTGAACCAGGACGGCAAGGCGAAGTTCCTCTGGCTCCAGCTATCACAGTCACCAGAAAGACGCCGCCGCGTTCAACTGGCGGGGAAGACCAAGCGCTTGTGCCTGTCCCTGGGGGCGCCGCTGGAAAAGGTCGAGACAGAATGGGCCACGGGGACAGTGTGGCTCAACTCGGTGCGCGTGGCGTCGGCTACAACAACGAGACCGGGGGAAGCAGAGGAAGCAGGAGCCGGCTGGATCAACCTCCGAGCCATCGCGCGGGGAGTCAATCAGCCCTACACAGATGTGGAAGCAGAGTGGGGGGAGCTCAAAACAGCTCTCCGCTGAGGGACTGAGCCTACGGAAAGCAGCGGCGAATGCGGGGACGACTGGTCCCCCCAATTCCAGTTTCACAAAACAGCCCCTAAGGGGCGACCGCAGCGACCCTTGGTTGCGGCTACCTGGAACGTCGGCGGCCTCACGGCGGCTCATGCACTGGAGCTGCTGCAGACGTTCGGGGGGAACAAAGTGCTCTCCTCAGTTTCCATAGTTTTCTTTCAGGAGCTTATCACAGAAGCAGGCAGGCATTTTGCCAACAGCAAGCAGTGGACACTAGTTTACGGCAAAGTCGTGGGGGAATGGAGGGGGGAAGGGGTGGCCTTTCACACCACGCTGGGGAAGCACAGCAAGTCCCAGATCATGCCGGCTGGGGTCAGCACAGTACTGGTGGGGGCATCAGGAAGCAAGTGGGGCATGCTCAGCGCACACGTGCCACACCATGCCACCATTGCCAGAGCTGAAGCACTCATGACACAATGGGGGGCATGCCATGCACTCGGGGTGAAGAAAGCAATGCTGGGGGTGGACGCCAATGAGACCTTCCCCCCATCCAGACACAGCCCTGAGCAGCACCAAGAGCAGCCACAGGCACGGACTGGGCGGGGCGAAGCCTTCCTAGCATGGCTCCAACGAGTCGGGCTACGCCTCCCACCACAGGACCTCGCAACTGCCACGCATTTCCCTTACGACGCCACCCAGCAGCCCAGAAGATTAGACTACCTCGCCATCAAAGGCTTCTTTTCGCACAAGGGGGAAGTGGCCGCACTGCGCGACATGGCGAGGTCGGACCACGAACCGGTCATACTACAGCTCAGGACGGACGCACCCAAGCCAACCAACAACAACACAACATGCGGCCCGCGGCACCTCCACCTGTCCACGGAGAACCTCGACACACTGCTGAACCAGCAGGCGCAGCAACCACCGGGGGACCGCCACGCACAACTGGCACAGATCAGCACCGCCATCACCAAGACAGGCAGGAAGGAGCATGCCAAATTCTCGGAGAGCGCAGGCCTCAAGCAAGCCCGACGCGCGGCCCATTCGACAGCACCGGGGGCAGCCAGGCGACAGGCCTGGAAAGATGTGCAGAAACAGCTGCACAAAGAGCACAAGCAATGGAAGCAGGCAATCGAGCAAAAGGCCAGCCAACATGACTGGCCAGCATACCGGCAGCATAAGCGGGGGGACAGGGGCGACACATGGATGGCGACTCTCACCGACGAGCATGATTGGCAGGGAGCACTCCTCGCCCACTTCCAAGCCATCTTCCACAACGACAACAGCCGCACACGCGACAACGACTTCCAACTCCGCCGGGAGCGCCTACGGCGGAACTGCAAGCACACACCATGGCGGGCCTTTACAGCCGAAGAGGTGGGGGGTATCGCGGTGCGGTGGAAGAACAGCAAGAGCACAGGCCCAGACCAGATCTCCCACGAGGCCCTCAAGGCCCTACTCCAGCACCCAAGCTGGGAGCACCGCATTGTTGCCATGCTCAACGATGCCCTTTACACGGGGAAGCTACCAGCAGCCGTCGAGCGGGGAGTCACCATACTCCTGCCCAAGGGGACGACCCCCCAGAATTGGGGGGAAACCAGGCCGATAACCCTCAGCCGCTGCGCCTACACACTCCGGCCCCTCAACACACTGCAGTGGGCGGCGCCGGGGAGACAAGGCACGGAGCTCATTTTGACGCTCAGGAAAGTGGCCCGCATGGCCCGTGACTGGGGAGGCACATTTTGGATCATCAAACTCGATCTGCAAAAAAAGCGTTCGACTCCGTGGCGCAGACCAGTCTCGCCGATTTGGTTGAGACCCAAATGGGGGACGATCACCCATGGGAGTCGGTGTTGTGGCTTGCCCTTCTTCAGGCACGGGAGGTTCTCGTGGAGGCCGTGGGGGAATGCATCCCCATACCACAATCCAATGGGGTGCGGCAGGGGTCACCAGACTCTCCAGTGCTCTTTTCGGCGAGAGTCGGACAATGCCTTCAGCAAACTCTCGGCCAAACGCAGCGGGGGAACCGCAGTGGGGGCAACCCCAGGCTTCCCCCCCGCCCCACCATGGGGGGAGCTTCATGGACGACACTTACCTATGGGGCGAAAATTCACAACACCTACAAGCCACCCTCGACATCCTTCAAAAGATCCTTCGGCAGCACGGCCTGCGGATCAACCCCAAGAAGACGCAGATCATCTGCAGCACCAGCAACCCACAGCGTTTCCAGATCGACGGCCAGTGGGTACAACCCCAGACGGGGAACGCGGCGCTGACGGTCCTAGGATCGCCGGTGAGCTTCAAGGGGGGACCCCCCCAGCTAGCAGCCGAGATGTGCACAAGGGCCCGCAAAGCATGGGGGAAGAACAAGCAGCTCCTCACAGCAAAGACGGGGCTCAAGCGCCGCCTGCAGCTCCACAACGTGCTGGTCCGACAAAGTGCGCTTTGGGCGGCGGAGACGTGGCCAGTCCAAACCACACTGCTCAAGCAAGCCAACACGTAGCAGCTTCAGCACGTGCGCACCATGGTGGAGGGAGGGAGGGCACCGGGGGAGGCATGGACAGACTGGAACAAGCGCTCGCTCAGAATGGCGCGCACACACCTGCTCAAGAACAAAGTTGAGCGCTGGTCCACCTACATACTGCGCATGATCTGGGGAGTTTGGGGGCATGTGGCAAGGGCGGGGGACATCACCTACCAAATGCTCATGTGGAGGGGGATGCACTGGTGGAGACAACAGCAACAACTCCCTGACAGTGTGCTGGGGGCCCGACACTCGGCCCGTTTCAACAGCAGCCTGGACACTGAGCGCCACATCGTGTCAATCGCGGGGGAGCACTGGGGGGACGTCGCCAGAGACCGCCTTGCATGGGAAGCCCTTGAAGAGAAATTTGTTGAGGCCAACGACCCCCCCTGGTGCTCGGGGAAGCAAGCCCAACTTGAGAACTTGGCACAAGCACGAGCAGACGCCAAGAAAGCCAAGGGACTGAAAGACAGGCGAGACGACTGCTTAACTAGCGGATGAAGGCCCACGCCTGACCAAGCTAGCAGGAGCCAGCCAGCACCACACAGTTGCATGTCTTTTGCACGCTTTCGCTTCTTGTTGCAGCAGAGAGAGAGGGGGCGGGGACGGCCGTTTGCAAGACCCGCTCAGCTCAGTACATGTTCACCTTGCATGCCAGTCAGACTTCAGTAGTTTCAGTTGCATTTTCGCAGTTGCAAGCATGACACGCCACAGCACCACAACTGGAAGCGCGGCC